CGCTGCCTTACAGCTGTGCATTGCTTCCACCCGTACGCAGGAGATGTAACTGTCTGGTTGGGCCCATGGTAAGAGACGTTATTCCCAGTGCCAACCAACCCCCGCCATCCAGGCGAACTGATAGGCTGTGCATCATTACCGAAGCCTGGTAGGTTCAAACCGCTCGCCTTTTGCTTGGCAGCCAATTTTTAACCTCTGCACCACCAGGCTTTCACTCGTATGGCCAGAGAATCTAGCATCTGAATGCAGTCTGTACCCGAGCCGAGCCCTACTGTGGTTTGGGCAGGGTTTCTGAGCTGCCTGAAGTCCTAACCTAACCGAACCCCTATCCCTCATCCAAACCTCAGTCTCTCCCTTCTCCCACCCTTGGATTTTCGTCTCAGTGATTTTTGTCAATGCCTTCCAAGAATGACAACTAGAATAAAATGGGGTGGAGTCAGGTGGTGGTGGGGTGTCATGATTTTCCTAGAATTTTTTATTGTGTTTCCGGCCACCCTGTATATAGAATTGCAAAGTCTGTTAGGTTTTGTCCCATCAAAAATCCCCCTAGGGTATTGTATGTAGTCCTTTCTGTATGGATTTGCCCTCCTAAGGACATAATCCACCCCAACTCCATATTCTCTTCCAAACACCCCCCACCATGCGCACGGCCCCCCTGCCTTAGAGTCAATGATTCATAGAATCAGAGTACCCTGCCAACCTGCCCCTTCATGTTTCCAAGTCGATAAATCTTTACTGCAGCAGAAAACCCCATCTTTTTTTCCCCCAGGGAGGCTGGTGCATTCGAACTGCTGACCTTTTGATTACGGATCTAACCCATAACCCATTACACTACCAGTTCCCATCTGATGTCTTAGGAAGGGTCTATCGGTCCCCCTTCCTTTCCTCCTGTCTATTACAATATTGGCATGATGGAATGGTCCCCCTTCTTTAGCCTTGTGCTAAGAAAGACCTTCTTAATGTAGGAAGCTTTGAAGTCCACTCTTCCCCCTGGAAATAACACCTTGCCAGGATTTTGGAACACAGTTATATTTATCTGGATGGTTGACGTGCCTTTGTACAATAACTTATGAATATTGAAAACAGAGTAGAAGAATAAAACTGCTATATTGGCCACAGAGATTCTTCTTAGTTTTTAGATCACTAAAGAAGTCCTCCCTCATGAATTGCTTATCTGGGGAAAGCCAGATTTGGAGAATGTTTTTCATTCTCAGTTAGAATAACAATCCCTCAAGGGCAAGGCTGGATCGGATCCTCTACAGAGGCACCCTGGGTCAGTGTTTGGGAATGATGACCTCTAGTCACAGCGATAATGAGATAATACTGCCACCATGGTTCACGAGTGACTCCTGTTACTTCACTTCTGAATTGTGCATCACAAACAACCATCCAGATCAGAAATAGGCACGGTGGTCCAGTAGTAAGCACATGCTGATTAGAGTCAGGCCTTTCTGAATCCCACTTCACCCTGGCTGTGAACCTAGGATATTTATTCACCATCTCTGAACCACAGTGGAGCCCTGGTGGCATAGTGGTTATGAGCTGGGCTGCTAACCCCAAGGTCTGCCGTTTGAAATCACCAACTGCTCGGAGGGAGAAAGATAAGGCTTTCTATTCTGGTGATGAGTTACAGCCTCAGAAATTCACAAAGGCAGTTCAACCCTGTCCCATGGGGTCCCTATGAGTTGATAGCGACTCAATGTCAGTGAGTTTGGTTTTTGGTTTGGAACTACAGTGTTCCCTGTAATATAGGCCTTATACCTACCTACCTGGTCTTTGATAAATGGTACTTTACTGGATTATATGTAAAATCTGGGTGATTGCTCATATTTGTTGAAACAATAAAACAAATGTAAGTTGGAAATAGCATCATTGACGGTAGGGAGCTCATGCTTGGACTGTGTGGCTTGCAGGTTCAAGTCCGCGGGGGAAAAAGAGGCTGTCTGCTCCCATAAATATTTAAAGTCTAAGAACCCTAAGGGGCAGTTCTACTCTGTCATAAACGGTTGCTATGCATCTGAGTCAACTCCATGACAGTGAATTTGTGTGTGTGTATATATATTTGGAGCCTCTAGAGCTACCATTAAATTGCCTTGCAGAAAATGATACCCAATATTAGTCTGAGTCAATTGGTTCCATGACAAAACGACAATGACAAAAGCCATGAAGCTGAAGCTTGCTCTGCTTTCAAAACAAGAAGTCTGGCTGTGACTTCATCTGTTGTCATTATGGGCCCACGCGTCACCTCTCTTCTCATCTCACCATCTTTATTTTGCCTGGGTGAACCAGATGAATGCTGCTTCTGGTCTTCCCACCTTGCTTTGTTAGCATCCCTCTCTAACACCCGGCGCACACATAAACACTGTTTTAGAATCACCAGGGGGCATTACAAATCCAGATGCCCAGGTCACAGCATCTACCAGTTTGTTCAGAATCTCTGAGAGGTGAGACCCGGGCATCAGTGTTTGTTATTTCCTCCCCCTTTGCCTTTCTTTTCTTTTCTTTTCTTTTTTAACAGACCAAAATGCTGCCTGGCTGTGCAACATCTTCACGATTATTTTTAATTCAGTTTAATCTGTTGTGATCTATATAGTATTCATTGGCTGGTATTTGGATGTGAATCACCAGGACTTTCTTCCTGGGCTGTGTAAGGCTGGAAGTCTCACTGTAAACTCCCCCTTTGCCTTTTCTCCAGCCAAACACACCCCAGTCCAGTCCTGTTGATGCCCTCAGCTTTGTGGCATTGCTTCGATTCTTCAAGCGATGTAACCCTACTCACCATCCTTTTCTGAGTTGTTCCTCCCTCATTAACATATGCTCACCAACCCTTGTGTTCCCTATTTCATCTTTCGAGTTGTTGTGACTTTATCCCATCTAGAGAGTTCTGAAAAGAGCGGACCGTTCAAGGCAGATCTTCTGCACTAGTTAGGCTAAACTAGTGTTTGATTTTATGACTGCTGCAAGGGATACGCGTGGTTTAAGGTTTCAAGATGATCTCTGGGCAGTAGTTTCAAGGGTTCATTCAATCCCTAGAGCTCCATGAGAATTGTGAAATTCTGTTCTGCATTTACCCCCCTTGTGATTGGGATTCTTCTGTGGAAACTTTGATCAGAATTTCAATTAAGGTAGCTGGACACCATCCAGTTCTGTTTTTATGGCAAAATGGTAGATGCTCTATAGCGCATGAGTCACACCCCCCACATCCTCCTCCTAATCCTGACCCCCCCTCTTCCTCCATTCTTCCAGGTGAAGAGAGGTGTATTTTTGGCCCTTGGATATCTGCCTGCCTGCCTTTGAAAGACCAGGTCAATGAACTAGGAGGCAGAACATAAGCACTAAATATGTTATTAGGCCAGTTAACTGGGTGTCCACTGAAACCATGACCCGAAAACTAAAATGTAATCTCTTGAAGTGTTTGGTAGTACCTGAGCCACGTCAGTGGCCACTTTTTTGGTGTCATTCTTTGAAGGATGAGGGGGTTTCCAAAAGTTTCTGGAAAAGCGGAATTGAATGATCATGGAGATTTCCCACAGGCTTTTTGAAGCCTGCTCCTGTATCTAGCAGGCAACATTTGCAAATTTAGCTTTTTACAGATGTGTAAGAATCTTGATAGCAATTACAATAATCGGCCGCACAGCAAGACCTTTCCATCGCCATCAACCTCTCTTGTCTCTCTCTCCCCAACCCTGTGGTCTCTAATAAATATTAGTCCGTGCATTTGCCATTTCTTGTCTTTTTACATCAGTGAGGTCATACGACATTTGTTCTTCTGTAAGTGCACGGCATGATGTCTTCATGCTCCAGCCGTGGATCAAGATTCCATCTCTCTACTTTGGATGAGTTGTATTTCATTGTATGTATGTATCGCAGTTCATTTATCCTCCTGTGTCCATAGACATCTAGGGTGTTTTTTTCCCTCACCCTTTTGGCTATTGTGAATAGTCTTGCAATAAACATTGATGTACACCTCTTTTTTTGAGTCTCTGCATTTAAGTCTTTTAGATATATACGTAGGAATAGAATTGCTCCTAGGCCCTATTGTTTTTAGTTTTTGTGAAGAACGCTTCCACAATGGTGGTACTGTTTTGCAATCCCAGTAACAATGCCTAAGGGTTCAGATTTTCCCACACCCACCAACACTGGTTATTCTGCTTCTTTGATTTTCCCTAGGATATTATGTTCATCCCTTAGAATTTTCTTCATGAAACAAATCTGGCATCCACAAGTCAGGACAATGCTAGATGCCCCTTTTCTAATTGTATGACTCTCATTTAATTCCCTTTTCTTTGG